ACATTTTACGCACCAAAGCAAAAAAATACGTATTTTTTTCTTCCTTTTTTTTTTTTTTAATGTTATTTTTTTCGTAATTATTTTTTATTTGACTTTCTCTTTCTTTCTCTTTCTCTTTCACACCTACTTCCTCTGTTTCTTTGTCTTTCTCGGGTTTTTTTAATTTTCTTTATTGTTTATGGCCTCTTGATCTTTCAAAGAAAGACTTAAGATGCTGAACCCGACATTGCTCTGTTTAGATTTGTATAGCCTTCTTTCTTTCTTTCTTTCTTTCTTTCTTTCTTTCTTTCTTTCTTTCTTTCTTTCTTTCTATATTTACATCAGGCATTTTCTCTTCTTTCCTTTCTTCCTTTTTCCCTTTTATTGTTTCTTTCTTCTTTTTTTAATCACTCCTTCATTTCCTTAATTTTCCATCTTTCTCACGACGTTTCTCTTTTTTCTTGTTTTTTCTTTGTACCTCATTTATTATTTATGCTCGCCTTTTTCTTGTAATTTTTATCTGTCCTTTTATCTCATTTTCGTCCTTTTTTTTTTTACTTTTCATCTCTTTTTCTTTCTCTCCTGTTTTCTCTTTCTGTATTTCTTACCAGGTTTCTCTTTCTTTTATATTTATTTTTAAACATTTATTTTTTTACATGTTCTTCTTTTTTGCCCTATTGTTTTCATACCATTTTTTACTTGCTTTCTTTCTTTCTTTCTTTCTTTCTTTCTTTCTTTCTTTCTTTCTTTCTTTCTTTCTTTCTTTCTTATTGCCCCATAGCGTCTTTCTTTCTTTCTTTCTTTCTTTCTTTCTTTCTTTCTTTTGCTCCAGGCAATTATTTCCTATATTACCCCATAGCGTCTTTCTTTCTTTCTTTCTTTCTTTCTTTCTTTCTTTCTTTTGCTCCAGGCAATTATTTCCTATATTACCCCATAGCGTCTGTCTTTTTTTCTTTCTTTCTTTTTTTTCCAGGCAATTTTTTTATTTTCTTTCTTTCTTTCTTTTCTTTTCTTTCTTTCTTTCTTTCTTTCTTTTTTTCTTTTTTTTTTTTTGCTCAGGCAATTACCCCTATATTACCACGTCTGTCTTTCTTTCTTTCTTTCTTTCTTTCTTTCTTTCTTTCTTTCTTTCTTTCTTTTGCTCCAGGCAATTATTTCCTATATTACCCCATAGCGTCTTTCTTTCTTTCTTTCTTTCTTTCTTTCTTTCTTTCTTTCTTTCTTTCTTTCTTTCTTTCTTTCCTGCTTTGTTTTCTTCTGCGCATTCATTTCTCCTCAGATTGCATGTTATTTATTTTCAGTGCTTTGGTATAAATGCTACTTGCAGATGGCGTAAAGTGGGACTGTAGTCGTCTTTATTCTGATATTTTATTGTTAGAATCCCTGATGTATGATTTCGTTACCACATATGAGGGAACAATTTTCACTTTCCTCAGTAATTCAACAGTAAATAAAGTTCTTGATCTATCTATTAATCATATATATATATATATATATATATATATATATATATATATATATATATATATATATATATATATATATATATATATATATATATATACAGGGTAAAAAACAGAAAGGACGGACGTTTTTGAAATGGCTATTATTTTCAAAACGTCCTTCTTTCTCTGCATCGCCCTATATGTGTGATTTTGAGCGTTTATCTTGATGTTTTGTATCTACACATACATGTATGTATCCATATATATATATATATATATATATATATATATATATATATATATATATATATATTCAAACAGGTTACAGGTTTGATTAAATAATTTAGACATATCATATCGATTAGTTTTGCTGTGATCCTTTCAAGTTTGAGCGGATTAATGTTTTGTTAGATTTAGAAAATTGAAATACCAAAATTTTCTTTCGAATCGTTTTATTTTTTATTTAATTTTACTTTCAAACAATTTTTTTTTTTTTAATTTTTATATATATTTTATATATATTTATATATTATATATATATATTTGAAAAGTTTGTCTGACGATCGCAAAAGCGTGAAACCCAGGGTCACAAACTCACATCTATCCAACCAAATATATATATATATATATATATTTATATATATATATATATATTTCTCTGTGTGTGTATGTGTGTGTGTGTATATATGTCTGGATATATATATTATCTATCTCTCTATGCATTTCAATATTTCTATATCGATCTCATTCTTTTCATACTTTTCAATCACAGTCCTTTCATATCCACCTCTCAATCTACGTCAATTTTCACATATCTAATTATCTATATTTAAATAAATAAATATTTATCTGTCGTTACAACTCAAATTTTTAATGTATGACTATCAATATATCTATCGCTATTTTCACATACATCAATATGTCTGTGAATATGTACGTATGTTTCCTAAACATTTTTTTGTACATATCTGCATGTTTATCAACAATTTTTCGCTTTGTTTTTTTTTCTTTCCATCGTTGTGTTTTAAAAAAATACCTTATTCTCAAGCATCACATTTTTTATTGTTTGCTAAAAATGCATTTTAATGCTTTTGTCTTTTTAATAAGTACCACTGATCAAGTGAATTTATTAATTTTTGTCTAGTTTTCTTCATATATCATTGCTATTTATCACGTCATTGCAGACTGAATACCCTTCTACCGTTAAAATAAGTAACTTTAAATCAAAATAAGTAACTTTAAATCAAAATAAGTAACTTTAAATCGAAATAAATAACCTTAAATCAAAATCAGCATTAGCTGCCAAGGCGAGTAGTTTTACTGGTAGTAAAACTTTGCAATCGTCAGGTGTTGATTGAACACTAACGGATTTCTTTAACTTGTTTGCCAACTGATGTTTTTCTTTTTTATTTCGCTGACATTATTGTTTTTCTTCTAATTTTTTTCATATTTCTTTCTTTATTTAAGTATATATATATATATATATAAGAACACCCAAATTTAATCTAGAGTTCTTTAGCGTTTATTAAAAAAAAACTGTCCTCGATACACAGTAGTGCATTGTATTATAATTATTATTTAAAGATATGTATTAATCACGACACAGAAATTACCATGTTTCGAAATCAAAACCTTAAAACTTAAAATTTGAAGTTCATATTTTTCTTTCATTGCTTGAAAATGAAAATGAACTTGAAATATATTATATATATATATATATATATATATATATATATATATATATATATATATATATATATATATATATATATATATATATATATATATATATATATATATATATATGACGGTTCCGTGTAGGATACAGGTTCGATTCCTATCGAAGGAAACATAATTTCTTGGAAATTCAGACCCGTAAATATAATTAATGTATATCTTACTTATTATAAAAGGCAGATTGTGTGTGTCTGTACGTTTATATATTGGATCGGATTTCCTACATTTTTCAACCGATTTCAACAAAACTTCACAGGACTGCGTAAAATTACCTTGCGGTGGTCCTGACAGCGCCGAAAATTGGAAAAACTCAATTTTTTTTGCACGAAATCAATTTGAAAACACGATAAAACGATTCTGTCACCAGAATAAAAGGGGGGAAACTCATATCGAGTTATACTTATTATAAAACCCAGGTTGTTTGTGTGTGTGTGTGTGTGTTCGTTTATATATGGGATCGGATTTCCTACATTTTTCAACCGATTTCAACAAAACTTCACTTTTTTTTTGGCAGGTATTGTTTCTTATTGTCTTGCACACTTTTTTCTTTATTTTTACATTCAGAATGCTTTAAACATTACAAGACAATTGTTTATAATAAAATTTTATTCAATCGATGCCAGACTCAATGTTTTGTTTAACAATTGTAAAAAAAAACAAAAAAAACAATGTTTTTGTTTGAATTTGTGTTTGTAAATAAATATAAAGTGGAATTGACGTCAAAAAAAAAAAAAAAAACTAATTGATTGAGCACTTAAACCCTTAAATATATATATATATATATATATATATATATATATATATAAAATATATATAAATATATAATATTTATATATATTATATATATTTATTATATTGGAATCGTAATCACGATCCAATTCATCAGACGTAATAGTTATTTTAAAAACAAAATGTTTCCATCGCGACCGAGAGATTCATGTTTCAAAACTGAAATTCAAGTCAAAGTTTACTTTCAAATTTAAACTTTAAATTTAGAGCAACGTTTCATTCTCAAGCGATGTTTAGAATAACTAACCGAAGAAATGCTTTACTCATTGATAGGTTGGAAATGGAGGTGTTATCTAGGGTTTTGCAGTCATTATCAAGATGGCTCTGATTTCCTGAAAGTAGGAATGTTTATTGTAAGTCAAGTTTTGGAGTTATATATATATATATATATATATATATATATATATATATATATATATATATATATATGTGTCTGGCCTGACGATTGCACTTAGCTTGATACAGACTCTGGGTGTTTGGCTTTAATGTCCACTAATATATATATATATATATATATATATATATATATATATATATATATATATATACCCGCGCGCGTGTGGTTGTGGTTGTGGGTGGGGGGTGTCGGTGTCGGCATGTGTAATTTTCTAAAAAAGTAATGGATTTTTATTTATCAATCCGACCGATTTGTATTAGTTTAAATGTTATTTTCTTTGGGTTCTCATATGTTAACAGACGCTCCATTTATTTATTAAACAGTATAATTACTAAATAAAAATATAGCCTCTATAACGAGAAGGATTTCGCTTACTGACATTGCCCAGACGTTGCACGATTGACAAAACTTCTTGTTGTTTAAGGCACATCGGATCTAACGACGATTTCTCTCTGTCCGGAAGAACGCGGGTTCCTATCCTGCCGGAGATCTTTTTTATATAGTATTTCTGGAGTATCCAGGCCGATAGACGAAAATAAATAAATATATTGTTTAATAAATAAATGAAGCGTCTATTTACATACGAGTATTCACTGAAAATAACGTTTACAGTGATACTCTCTCTCTCTCTCTCTCTCTCAATGAACTTAACAACGTTAAACAAACACTAATCAACAACGGCTTCCCTAACCACCTTATAGACCACCAATTTAGACTATTTCTTCCCAAAGCAAGTAATAACGATAGCGAACACACAACCAAAATTCACATACACATTTATTACAAAAACCAAATACATATTAATTACAAACAAGACGAATTTTTCTCTAAAGCATATTATAAAGAAATATACTACTCCAATTGATCCGAATAAAAAAATCAAATTTATTATCTATTATAAAAATTTTAAGACAGCCAACCTTATCCTCAAAAATACCAACACACCAAATAAGTCAAAATTACAAAGAACGAACATTATCTAAGAGTTCAAATGCCCCTTAAGGAACTGTGGTCCTGCTCAAACCGGAGTCATAAATAATTACATCGGCTACACAACCACATGCTTATCCAGACGTCTTATGTTACACCTATCTGATCACAGCTCCATCAGAACACATTTAAACACACACCCAGATTTACCCGACACTATTAGGAACATACTAGTAGAAAACACAAATATATTAACTGCATCCACCGGCAAAAAAAGACTAAAAATAATGGAAGCTTTAATAATAAAAAAGAAAAAGCCAACTCTTAACAATATTAACTACGAACAAAGCCACAATGTGCTAACCGTATTCGGAAATTAAAAACATCCCTACCACACACAAAGACATACACAGAACGCACACACTCAATTAAGCTGAAAATCGAATCATCCGTGATAATGGCTAAAGCCGAAAGCGCTCGGAAATATAAAACATTTGGACAGTTCTTACACACCCTTTGTCCAGAAAAGAAAGCTCTTGTTAGGACACATGAAAAATTAAAGAAAAAGCTTAACCGTAGTACCTTGCTTGTCGTTTTTAATGAAACATGCATAAAGGTAGGATTGCTACCTAAATATACAACTATATATATATATATATATATATATATATATATATATATATAAATTATCGCACCTTGAGTGATTATTCTAATAAAATAGTCCTCAATGAATAATAACAGAGCAAACAACATATATTTATTAATATAAATTATAGCTTTACCGGAAGAGAACGCATTCCAGGCAAGCAGTTCTTGTAAAAAGAGAGCTTAATATCAAAAGATAGGGTACTAATTATTATAAGTCATAAAATAAGTTAGTTCACATATCAAAATTTGTACTCAGCAGATTTCTGCCTGACCCAAAATCTGCAAATTCATCAAAAAATCTGTTGAGGACTGAATGCGAAAACAATTCCATGAAAACGCCGAATACAGATTCAAATAAATGAACTATTTTATTTTATTACTGATAATGGCCATCTGCTTTCGT